TTCACTTCTCGCAGGCACGACTGTATCTTCTTTAACGGCTGCTTGCATAGTGTTGTCATCATGTGGATGGAGAAATACCTCCTAGTTACCAACTTTGATTACCTTATTCTTAAAATCCAATTGGAATCCATGCGTTATTCATTACGTCCATTCCTAATATAACATCCTCTTCGATGTCAGCAACTATAACAGTATGGACGAACTTTTCTGCTCCAATTCCTAATTGTACCTGGATTTCTCCATGAATGTTGGCATTTTCACCTGTGGCGGTCCGAAGTCGCAACCTCGTTGGTAACAGTTTCTTTCGGCTGTTTATAACTGTCGGGCGTATAATGGTTCTGGTCGCTCCAGTATCCACCAACAACGTATGCTTTTTACCATTTATTTCTCCATCTACATATACACTATCTTCACGACATTTCAAAGAAGCTATTAGTATCAGAGGGTCTTTGGTAAAGTTCTGGGTCGAAGCTGCTCCCCTAAGGCCGACGCGTTCTGGTTTTGTCTTTGGTCTTATGGTCTTCGTTTTCTTGTGTGTCATGCTTTTTATCATATTAAAGAGCTGGTCAAGTTTATCTTCATCTCCTTCCTCTTTTACAGTCCTAACTTTGCTATACTCGCCAGAGGCCTGCGTAGCTGACTCGTATTCGAGGGCGGCAGATAAGACATCCATCAGCGTCTTGTGACGAGCTAATCGTAGTGTTCTTTGCATCTCATGATCACGAAGACCATCAATAAACGTTTGAACGGCCAACTTTTCCATCATGTCTTCGGGAGCTGTTGGATAAGCATATCGCACTAATCTGGCGATATCTACTTCATATTCTTGAAGAGCCTCATCTTTCTTTTGTCTTCGATTTTTAAGCTGCGACTGATATACATGCTCCAAGTGTTCGTGGCCATATCGCATATTTAACCTCTTCTTGAGTTGTTCGAAATCATTCGTCTCCTCTACGGCTATGGTCTGGAGCACATCTAAGGCATCTCCTCGAAGAGCGATAGTCAGGTTTACAGCCTTTTCTTTTTCAGACCATCCATTCGCTCTTGCAGCTGATTCGAACTGTTTCATGTAGTTGTTCCATGATGATTTTCCGTCGAAAGTTGGAACTTTAACATGAACAGAAACTCCACATCCTTCAAATTTCGGCCGCGTTTCCAACTTACATTTCGTCTCATTTCTTTTATCTCTACCGGATCTAAAGCTACCGTATTAATTGGTGGTAGCACTTTCGCGTTAGTTATCATTGTCTCTAACTGTTTGATTTTCTCTTCTACTTTTTCGAATGTTTTGGAAACTTCTTCAAATTTCTCATTATTCTTTTTCGAAGTTTCTTCCATCATTTGAGAAACATTTTCAAATTTCTCGTCGAATCTTTTGACACATTTTCAAGTTTCTCGTCGTTTTGTCTAGCTACTTCTTTAATAATTTGAGACGTTTCATTGAATCTTTCATCATTTTTTTTAGAACTCTCTTCGATCTTTTGAGACGTTTCATCGAATCTTTTGGAAACATTTTCATCATTTTTTCTAGAACTCTCTTCGATCATTTGTGAGACATTCTCAAATTTTCCATCGATTATTTTAGTTAAAACGGCTTCTTCTGCTGACTGGAACTGGAATGTCTCTGGGTCGTCTCCATTCTTGTTGAGAACAGTCTTCAGTCGTTCTTGGAGGATCTTCTTGGACCCGCTGCAGTCTTCATCACGTTCTTCTAGTTGCTCACGCAACTGTTTCACTGAAAGTTCTACTAGCAGCATCTTTGGTCAGGCACACACATACTTTTTAAATGTTCTTTCGTACAACGATCACTCCTGAACTACGCGGATGTTCCCGACGAACAATACCTTTCAAAAGTTCAAAAGTCTTTTTCAAAAATCAAATTAAATTTATCTACGATCCCACTTCTGCACCACTGTGGAGTTTATATAGTTCTAATTTATTTGTCTTTATTCTAATTTATTGTCTATAATCTAATTTATTAAAACTCACGATAGCTAATTACTAATTTATTAAATAACTTTACAAATGTATTTATTTCACGTTTCGTTACATTTAAATATCGCGTTTACCGATCTTCTTATCACTGACTCAAATACAAAAATATTTCATTTATATACACAACTGTTGTCATCTGGAACTTTCGGCAAACTTCCAGAATAGTCTCGTATTTTGGTGAAGGCGCTCGACTCGTTTTTCAACCTCGAGACGTGGATGACTCACTAAAATTAGTGTCTAGAGATTTCTGGTAAACAACTGGTAGCTAAGCTCAGGTATATTTTGACCTACAAATTACGAGAATCAATAAAAAAGAATTAGTCATAAAATATTTACAGTTCTATATGCCATAACATTTAAAATCGTAACAGTATAATGTATAATTTAGTAATAAAAAACCTTTTAGAATGCTTCCCAGTAAACATACACTAACTCGTTTAAAAAAGGTTAATACAGTGTGTATCGCCTAATTTTAAATAAATGGGGGCATGTTAGAAAAAACGCTTGGATTCGTATTTTTGTTATGCATTTTTCTCAACAAAAACTTTTTATACATATTCTGTCATGTAATAGTGGGCAATATTAACTTTCTTGTTTTAAATACGCTGGATACTTTGGGATATCTAAATAGGATTAGGTGTGTTTTTGTGGGGTTTACAGTTTCATTCGATTTGTTTCACCATCTGACGATAGTGACAAGGTGTTCTTAGACATAGACTGCGAAGAGGAGGGCGGATCGTCAGTATATAGAAGAATATTTTCGGATCTAGTAATGGAAAAGGAGAGGTAGTTGTTATAAGTCTTTTATTATTACATTGCTAGTAGTTCTATTCAATTCTCGAAAATGAATTGATGTGGTTATAAATACCTTTTATTGTCAATGGATCTAGGCGTAGTTTGATATTGTCCTCTTCGATCTTCAAATATTATACCAAAGGGGACGTAGTTTTTTTCCTTTCTAGTAGTAAGATAGGTACCAATAATACAAAAAAAGTATAGGTTAACATATTTTTACAAACTTGGACATTCTTTTCATCTACAACACAATGGTATTTGTAGTTTGTTGCGCGTTGAGATTTCTCGTTTTTGTAACTATACTTTGGGTTTACTTTTTTCATTAACTCAGATATAAAATCTCTTTTCCAGTTTACACCATGAAGACTAATAAATGCTTCTAAAAGTTTTTGTCGTACATCTAAATTTAGTTTTGATGGACATTTTAACCTATATTTATTATCACAGCCAGTTTTTAGAGTTTTTTTTATCCACAAGTGTCCCTGATTTGGTTCTGTAAGACTTCCTTTTATTTTCTTTCATTGAATTAATTTTCTGACCCATAAACTTTCATTTTAACTCTCTGACTTTTCTAGATTCTACACTTTTATCAGAAACCTCTATAATAGTCCTATTAAACGTTTGGTTACTTATTTCGTTTCCTTTACGGTTAGGTTCATCTTGTTCAAAACTGTTTTTGAATGTAAGTTTGAGTTCAAAAAGCTGAAATTATGTACATAATCCATGTCATTAGGAACTTTTCCATTATGATCTACATCATCGTGAGTCATGGTCTTGATTATTGACCATTGGATTTATCAAATGGTAAGGTGATATTACTGTTACTTATTATTTTATGACCATCACTATCGTTCTCTGTAACCATGGAAATTTATTCTTCTACTAACATTACACAATACTAGTAGAACTTTCTGCCGGAATTTTCGGTAGTAGAAATATATTATCGACATTACCTAATTGAACATTAGGCTGAAGTTCGTTTCCAATAGTGATAGTAGATTGTCACTGTTTGGAATATATTATTCGATTAAAATCTGATTGTTATATGATACAGCAGTTTTTTCGCTAGCAGGCTCTCTATGTCCGTTGTGCTCACGTAAAATATAATTTGGCTCTTCAGTAGTGTCAAATGAAACTTGATTTGAAACAATATTTTCAAACGCTGAGCCAGTCGTTATCTCCAAAAATAGCCCTTTAAAAACAAACTTGTAACTCTAATGTAAACTATTTTATTTAATTATTTATTATTAGCAGGTTTTTATCCTAAGGCTAGGTCTGTAGCAGTTATGAACGTCATAAACGATTTAAATCATATCAGTTTGATGTTAACTTAAAAAGTAAGCTATTAACTCTTAGCTTTTTATTCGCTGTAACGAGGAACAGTAACTGTTTTCCTCTTCCTGTGTTTAACTTATTAACTTATTTAAAAAAATATTCACATAAGTCATAAAAGTAATTGTTTAACAATAAAAGTTATCAAAAATAACAGTTGATCAGTCTTGTAAACACTGCAAAATACTGGCTATATTAGCAACAATCCAAACATTCAATCCATTATATTACTGTATTGCTCTGAATATTATACAACTATTGTTCTTGAAAATACACATTTTTCGTTACTAATCTATTACTCTATAATATAGAGTATTTTAGCATAGAACTATAGTAACACATGATGCAATTATAAATTGCAACAATTATTTTAAAACAGTATAGTGTTGGTTTAAAAAGAACCATCATTCTTGTATGAGAATTTTTTCTTATTTCCAAACATACAAATTTAGGAGAGAAGGTGAAAGTGAAGATGAGTAAAGAAGAATACCTTCTGGACTCTTTCTCTATTTTTGATATCGTGAATTAAGAAAAATCACTAAAACTTAGAAAAGTTTTGCAGAGAGTAGAAGTCACTCAAAGAAGACGAGCAGAAATAGAATGTGGCAATATTGTTCAAATAATATGCAAGTCAGCATAATCTTCAAGTCATAGTAGGTGAAATAGGAACTAAGGAAAAGTGAACCAACTCAACTCTGAAAGCCAAACAATAAAAATTTCTGGGAAAACAACTGCCAAAGATTGTTTTAAAAAAATTATGTACCTATGCTGTAAATTTTCAATTATTCCCAAGGACAATTTATGAGGATCTAAAAGGACTAATAAAAGATAATCCCTCGTCGAAATTACTAGAAAATAGACTTTTATTAAATATAAATAAGTGTCTTATATATTATTTTTGTTTTTAGGCATAAGTCAAAATTTAGCAAACACTGAAAAACGCTCAGGTAAGTCTATAATAAGCAAATATACCACTTTAAATATTTTACTATGACTATATATACATTATTTTTATTTCTATATTGTCAAAATAATTTTCCTTTCCTATTTTTGCCCAATAGTTTAAATATTTTAATTTTAGCTTTAAAAAGAGTGGTAAGGAGTACATTTGGACAAATTACTACTACCTACAGTCAACAGATGAAAACTTTAATAATAGCAAATTGTGTTGAAAATGGATTTGTAGATGTTGAAGACGATTTACGGGTAAGCTAACAACGTATAATTTTTATTAAAATTAATTGTAAATTTGTTAGAAATATTATCCGTTAAAGTTTTTAAAAATTATTCATTTTAGGTATTATTTTAAACAGTATTCATTATTCTTTACAAATAATATCAGTAATTTGATAAACCTAATTTGTTTTAAATATTATGCTGATATGCTAAGTATTGCTATAATTTGATAAATGAATTTTTTATTTTTAATCCTTATTATTAGATTTTCGTTTTGCTGTTTGTACTTTTTTTAAGTAACGTTTTGTTTATTTACAAAAATAGTTGCGTTTACCACAGAATAAATAACAGTCAGAAGGCCCACCATGCTTGTCAAGATAAGTAGGTACGCGCATCTCGTTCGCACAGACAGACGGAATCAGCATGTTTTAAACGGAACCAGTGTTGTTTAGTGAAATTTTATCTGGTGTGCAGAGAAAAATTAACCTGGTTTATTTGATTGTTACTCTAACCAAGCGTTATATTGATTTTAGCGAATTCGCCACAAATTGTGGAAATGTTTTCGTTAACGTTCCTATCATGGTCATCATCATCCTCATCTTGAGATGATATATCTTGGTGATCTTCTGTGTTGGCTTTATTTATGTCATTATTTCATAATATTGCTTCCTGTTGCTTTTGTGGTTAGATCTTTTATTCCAAATTAAACATCCTGGTAGTGGAATTATGTCAACAAAAAATACTTCAAACTTTTTGTCATGTATCGAACTTCTTTTATTCCCCTTAACTTCCTTATTATTCTTCTCCCTATCTAGTCCACTTTTTTTGTCTTAGTCTAGTGTCTTTTTATCTTTTTCTTGTATGAATGATTCACCTGGAGCAAAGTCTTCATCGGTTTAAATTTCTGGATTATATAGAAATATTCCTGTATTCTCAAAACCTTTAATGGCTTTGACTGGTGTGGCTACGCGACCGTATGAATTTTTAAATATTTCAGCTATTTCAAATGTCATGATATGTTCATGAGGATGACTTCGAAGATAAGTGCCACATTTAATGTTATACGCTGATTTTAACGATGAGTAAAAAGCTACCTCCAGCGGTTGGAGTCGATGCGATATGTAGGGGGGTATGGTTAACATAATAATTTCTCGTTCTTTACAGAAATCATATATCTCTAACGTACAGTGGCTACTGTAATTGTCGACGATTAACAAAACTGGATGCTCCTTTGAAGGTTTTACAACACTGTAAAAACGTGTGGGTATGGTTAACATAATAATTTCTCGTTCCTTACAGAAATCATATATCTCTAACGTACAGTGGCTACTGTAATTGTCGACGATTAACAAAACTGGATGCTCCTTTGAAGGTTTTACAACACTGTAAAAACGCTGGAGCCATTCGAGAAATATTTCCTTATTTATCCACCCATGATCGGAGCAGAAGTAGACTGCACCAGATGGCCCATTTTCTTTGACTCTGGTTTCATTCTTTTGTGGGCATAAATAAACAAAGGTGAAATATATGTTCCTGAGGTACTTATGCAGCACATAATGGTTGTTGTTTGACGTCTTTCTGCGCTTGCAATAAAGACGACTCTCTTTTGTTCCTTTTCAACAAGTATTTTTCCGGGGATTTGGACGGTTGTTATGATTGTCTTCTTTGCAATATATATTTTGGATGCCGAAAATTTATATTTATCCAATATGGATTTTAAATTAGAGAAAAATAGGTTTACTTTAGTTTTTTCAAAAGCAGATATGCGGTTTATACTTGTTGTCTCCGGTTTTCCTAATCGAATAGTTAGATTTCTTTTAAGGAAGTCGTCAATTTCTTCTTTCAGCAATTTATTTTTCTTTGAGAAATGGATGATGTAAATTTTTTTCTTCAGCGTATTTATAAGCACATTTTTTTATTTCTGTGGAAGTTATTTCATAAAAATGTTTTGATAACTTTATGACCTGCTTTGTCAAAACTTCTTCTTCTTTTGTAAATACAGAATTACGACCTAAAGAAGCAGCTATTGTATCATTTCGCTTTAGTCGTAGTTGAATTGTAGATCTGGGAATTGCAAAACTTCTTGCAACATCACGGACACTTCTGCCATTATTTACTGCATTTATTGCTGCACTAAGTTGCTCAGCATTCCATCGTAGTTTGTCGCTATTTATCTTGTAAACTCGAGGGAACTGAAATATAAGAATTTGTAAAGAAATACTCTGTATTACCTCCAGGCGCGTGGCTATTATAACCCCACAATACATATTTATACTGATCGACTCATTAATCATTAATATATCATTAATCACTTAAATTAGAGCAAGAACTTTTTATATTGTCTTAAACTACGTTAACAATTTAACAAATGGGTACCAATTATACAGCTAAAACAACTTAATTATATACTTCTACATACCTTTAAAAATCTTGCACTAATACATCAACTCACACAAAATATGACGTTTTCAAAAATTCCCTCTTTGCCGGCAAAACATCGTCATTGTTTTAGGTACAGTTTAAACGAAACACTGTTAGATGGCGCAACAAGTATTAAACGCGAAATATTAGACCGTATAACTGTAGAAACTATTTCATGGCTACCATTACGCAGCGCCCACCATTCCCCCACCCCTAAGAAAGGAATTTGAGAATTTAGAAGGAATGGTTACGTTTATCAGAATAACGACATACAACATGGAGTCGAACACAAAATAAAGAATTTGTATTTATATATAAGTATAAATAAATGCAATTCAAAGGTAAAATTAGGAATAAACTACACATTGAATTAATGGTAAAATCAATGCAATTCACTCAAATCAATACGAAAAATGTACGCAAGAATGGTAATTTTAATAATTGATAAATTCAGTGAAATAGAATCTATGGTAGAAAAATACAATGATAAACTAAAGTAAAAAATGTCCTAGTAACCGTAAAATGTTAACACGCGACACAATATGAAATCAAACCCTGACTATCTACAGTGTGGTGGTGTGGTGAATATAGTAGGGGCTACCGCGTAGCGAAGACCATCTATTGCAGTGGTCGCCAACCTCTTCAATGTGTTGAGCTACTTTGTTACTTTTGGAATAAACAGCGAGCTATCCAAACGGAAGCAACGTAACGCAACGTAAATGAAATAATCCACAGTTAATCATAATATGCATAATACATAGGTACTAATAATAAACTAATAACAAAATAACTAATATTACTAGTACGTACTTGTTCATAGCTACATTCCTACCTATCAAACGAAGGTATTTAAAAAATAAACAAAAACTTTTATCCAGCCACAAAGGCATGTCGCGTATGATTTAAAAATAGTTAATAATAACAACAAAAAAGTAACGTACTATCATAAACATTGAAAAATAAAAAAGCACGTTCAATTAGAAGGCTAACACTCAGACTCATCGATAATTTTTTTAATGTTTGCAGTATAATTTGATGCAGCCATTCGAATACAATTATCCAAATGTTCATCTGTAAGTCGATTGCGATATTTGTTCTTAATAAACTTCATATTGGAAAAAGAAGATTCACACAAATAGGTTGAACTGAATAATGCTTTCACTTTCAAGGCAACACGGTATAGAACTGAATATTTGTCTTTACTTGTTATTTATTTTTTATATTATTATATTATATCTTTTATTCACAATAGACCAGATACATTCAGTACTTGAGACTAACGATTTTAAGGTTAAATCATTTTGAAACTCAATGACTTCCATTTCTGTTGCAGCGATGTCTTCGCTAAAGTTTTGCATAACACAAGTTGCAAACTGCTGGATATTAATTTCCATAAAGGGTAAAACAACAAACTGCGCTACTAAAGCCATTTCATTAAAATCCTTAAAACGACTTTTGAAGTTACTCTTCAGGGTAGAAATTATTTCTACATGATATTTGTTGTCATGGGGTTCTAATGGATTTGGATATATTTTTTCTGAAAGAATAGAAAAATGCTTGGAATCGCTGTTAATTAGGTTTTGTTCCCAAAACTCCAGCTTTTTAATAAATGCTTTTATATCAGAAATCATTTCTGCTAGTTCTTTGTCTCTCCCCTGAAGCTAAATTAAGTTCGTTTAGTTTATCTGTAATGTCTATGAGAAAACCAAAATCTCTAAGCCAGATTTAATTTTCTATTTACGGAGTCGGTCCATCGCGTTGTTTGAAAAATTGAACTATACCAGATAGGACATCATTAAAACGTTTCAGCACCTGTCCTCTACTTAACCATCGGACTTCAGAGTGAAGGAGTAGGTCCCCGTATTGACGGTCAACTTCATCGGAAAAGGTACTAAATAATCTTCTTTGTAACGCTTGAGCTCTAATCTTGTTCACAATTTTTACCACCAGTTTCATAACGTTGTTTAGTTTCGAGAAATTACCACATAATGCTTGCTGATGGACAATGCAGTGGTAACAGAAAAATTGCGGAAAAGTTTCGTATTTACGACATAACGCCACCAGACCCTTATCACAACCCATCATAGCTGGAGCGCCATCGGTTGTCAAGCCTACCATTTTCGATATTGGAATTTTCTCGGAAAAAATAATATTTTTTAAATGAGAAAACAACTCCTGTCTTGTAGTGTGTCCTTTCAGTGAAAAGAACTTCAAAAGATCTTCTTTGTAAAATCACTAAAAATCATCCTGACGAATACGGCCATCTGGGCAGTGTCAACGACATCTGTTGATTCATCCAGTTAAAGTGAAAAATAAACACAGTTATCTCAGTCAGTCCTTAACTGTAAAAAAATATCATTGCTCATTACTTCTACACGTCTCATCACCGTGTTAGCAGAAAGTTGCCTAGATTTTATAGCTGAAACTATTTTGTCTTTATTTCTAAAGTTGGCAAACAACGAATCAGTAGCTTCTAAAAACGCCTGTTTTATTATTTTCCCGTCTTTATAAGGTTTCTTTTTTTGTGCAATTATCTGGACACACGGTACGATGCTTCAGTTGCAGCCCTATTTTTGTCGACTGTTCTTAAAAAATTGATTGTGGTCCAATTAACTGTTTTTTTAACTGTTTCAGTTTCTCCTTTCTGGCGGCAGAATGTAGTGGGAATGATTTTTCAAAATTAGAATGTACAGTTTTATGATGTCTTTCAATATTTCCTTTTTAGCAACGGAAACCAAAGTATTACATAACAAACACACATTTTTATCTTTAACTTCTGTAAAAAAAGTATTGTTCTTCCCATTCCGAATGAAAGTGGTATGTTTTTACCTTCTTACAACTGCTTGCCATAATATTATTTTTGTTGTTCTCTACTAACTCAACCGCTGGACGTTGGTTACGCGTTCAGTTTTAAACTAAGCGCAATGTCGCCGCGCCATGCGTATTTATCCCGTTCAGAGCAATCCAGATCGTTCTCGAAAACTAACGCGCTGATCCGGCTGGTCGGTTCTATAAATAGCCGATTCTAGCTTGACGGCGTCAGGGGCATATCGCTCACCGCAACGATACCGCTGTTTATGTTTAATATTATGACAATTAGACTTTTTTGTGAATTTTCGGAAGCTTCTCTAATTTCTGCAGTTTGTATTTTTCAAATTAAAATCGTTGTGAGAGCTAAACTCGGTTTCATCGTTCTTGTCGTGTGCCTGAAATAAGCTACTACGGAATTTTTAATATTCGTCTCTCTCTGATACACAGATGCGTAATTCAATTGTGCGAGTCACGTTTGTCATGGTAAAGTCCGATGAGAAGGAAATGAAGAGACCACTAACGTCTCCCAGTATTGTAGCGATAACACCGATGCGTTTGGCCGATACGGTGTCGGTGATAAGTTCGGCCTCTTTACGAATACAGATAGCTGCCACTGGAGGAGGTAAACGAATCGAGCTTAGACATGGAAAGACAGATGAAACAACTTATTGCAAGTGTTTTTACATGCACACGCCAAGAAAGATGAAAACGTCTATACCATAATTGCCTCCGCGAGCTACCGGTAGCTGCGTTGGCGACCACTGATCTATTGTCTTCTCAGCCGCGTTATATTCGGATTCTATATTAACGCTGTGAAACTGCAACAAGTTATACTAAAAAAATATAGTGAATAAAAAAATATTGAACATTTTTAAATATAATTAATTAAATAAATATAAATATAAATAACTAGTTAAAAGCAAAACTACAAAGAAAACGGAAGTTTAACTTTTCAACTGAAGTAGTAAAACACAAAAATGCTATTGTGTAAGTTTCTGCAAATAAGAATAATAAAACAAAATACAAATCTTCATACATTAGAGTGTTTACTATGAGTTATTTATGTTTTATATATATACTTTTTTTAGCAAGCATTCGAAGAATTTGAAGTATGTGCTCAAAAGAGAAGATTGTACGTGGATACTAAGGAGGACTATCTAAAAAGTCTTGAAGAATGCAGTGCAATACCTACAAAGAAAATAAAAAGTTGTCTGACAAAGGAACAAAGCTATTTCCCGACTTTCTTTTGAATATGGCAAGAAAACAGGTTGAGGTGGGATATAATGATCGTGACATAATAATAAGTAAGTATCTATTTTTTTATTCCTGCCTATTTTTATAAATTGACGTTAATCGCGACAATTTTCACTATGGTAATTTTCTGTCTAAATATGGCTACAATTGTTTCGTCTAAATTTAACCGTACTCAACCCAATGACCGAATGATCGAATCAGAGAAGCAATAACTGTCCAATTAAAACTAAGACGCACAATTGACAAACGGCTTTTCGAAGACGAAAATTGAAAATCCACAAGGAAAAAATTTTCGATTTTAAAACCTGATGATGGACTGTGTGGTCCGAAAACGTTTGTTTTATTGATGTAGCCCTTTTAAGGGTTTTTTAAATAAATATACCCATTTACAAAGACTAACCTCTTTTTTTGAAAATTGAAAAAACCAAGTAAAGCAAGAAGGCTATCGAATAAAGCTAAAGAATTGGGGAACTGTTAACATACAGGAAAATTTTTACAGAATATAACAAAGAAGCAAAAAAGGCAAAGATGGAGTCTTAAAGGAAATTTTATCAGAACTATTATAACGAATCTAAAAACTTCCTAAATGTTCTATAAAAGAAGAATGGGTATTTAAAAAAAATCAAACCAAAGAATGTAAAGTGGGCCATACACCACTTTGCTTCATATTAACCTCCAAGGAAGGATGAAATATTTTCTGCATTACTATTAAAGGCAATAGAAAACATACTTGATATACATACTAAGCAGGAGTCATTAAATATTCGTCAGTTCGATGGCAATCAGCATAACTATCAATGGGAAAATCAACAGAAACAGTACTGAACCCTGAAAAGGGATATTTTTAGCTTACGCAACTAGAGTAAATCAATGCTGGAAAATAGGCTGATTCTAACAGACCTGTCAGGAGAGGCAGTTGTGGCAAAAACAAGTAAGGGATTTTGCAGGTGAAATACTATTTCAGCTTCGATGGTTACTCCTGGTATATGACCTAATTTCTCCCCTTGTCACACAGAGTGTAGAACTGTAGGCTTATGCGAATAGGCCGAAAACACTGAACAGTATGGTGGTACGGTAGTACCAGTAAAGAGTAGTAGTCTGTATAATATATAACAAAACATCTAGATACGAGCTCTTTATGGACAAACAGTCAAAGAGTCGAATGAGTTCAAATATGTAGAAATAATACTAAATAAGGGGCTTACATGGAAGGCCCACCTAAACTAATATACAACAAAGCGAAGCTTTCCCTTTAAACATGTAAAAGGAAATGTGGGAAAACATTTGGTATGAACCACAAATATATGTAATGGCTATATATGATTATAATTGGCCCTATCATTACGTATGGAGCACTAATATAATGGTCTAAATGCTAACAAAAGTCCACCAGAGAGAAGCTAAATAGTAAAGCTAAAAGTAGCAGAGTAAGTTTACCCTAGACATACTTGCACTGAATGAAACAAAAAACGTACCTAATTTGGCCACGAGAGGGACAAAGAAAAATTCATAGGCCCCGAGTATCTCACGGCCGAGTATCAAGCACAGCTAAAAGGACAAAATCGAACTAGATGAAATAGAAAAAATGTAACCAGGACACTGTCGCTTCAAGGGGCACATGAATAAAATCGGATTAACAGAAAGTGCAAAGATTCGGCTAAATGCGAGATGGTGGAACATTTTCTGCGCAACTGTCTCGGGTTAAATAGCATAAAGCCCAATATATTTGAGAATAATCAACTCAAGACCTACAGCTGGGCTGAAGCAGAGACAACTTAACTTATCCGTCGGGCGCGGTTGTTTAAATTAATACAACACAAACGTTTTGTGACAGTATGTGTGTCTCATAAACAGTAGGAATTGTCGTAACCAATAGTTTCCTACCTCTCATTATTTAACAGAACGTGATCGGTAAATATTCTTTGCTAAGACGAAAATATTTAAATACTGTTTATTTTGATATACCTCGCCTATTATTTTTTTATACTACCTACTAATACCTTTTCCTGTTTTATTTAAAACTAGATAATTATACACACACTGACTTCATAAACATCAAACTGATTCACTGCACCTGGTTGAAGGTTTTTCTGTAAGTTAACAAATTTATATTTGAACTTTGATAATCTAAAGGCAAATATCGAGCACAGTAATAATTTACCTTGCCCAAGTACTTTCGATCTCTAGATTATCTTCAGGGGCATTTCGTCAATTGCGGCCTATCCGATAAGAGTACAATGTCATAAACATAAATTGGAACATCACAATACACTACCCAAGGACGAACAACCACTTTAAAATTTTTGAAAATAGGCGAAGAAGCTACATTGTCTATAGAAGCTGGAGACAGAATCAAATTTATATTTGTTTGATGTCGGAAATACGCTTATCATGGCAAGTTGTAGTAAAAAATATAACTTGGAGGATCCTAAAGATGTTAATAAACTTCAAAGATTGATGTTAGACGAGGACGAAGGTGATTCGCAGGACGATTTTGGTGACGAAGAGGATACAGATGCAGAATATGAAGTAGAACCTCGTCACGGCGATTTAGATGAAAGTTAACAAAATGAAATAAAAATCTCCCATCACAAAGAGTTAATACAAAATATCATAATTATTTTGATAGATTACCAGTTGTAATAGGTGCTGCAAGAATGTCAAAAGCTCCTTTGGAATTCTGGATTTGCATTGCGGATGAGGAAATATTACGTATAATTGTACAACATATCAACCAATACATTGATAGTGTAAAATCGCTCTTCAAACGCGATAGAGATGTTAAGCCTAAAGACATTGTTGAGCTGAAAGTTTTGAAATGTCTCTTATATATTGCTGGTGTTCACGAAAGTAACAGACAGAGTGTGAAAGACCTGTGGGATCCAACGAGGATGGTATTGAAAAATTCCGACTGGTCATGAACATCTAAATACACTGCACTTCAAAATTAACGCAAAATTTTAAAATTATTATTTTGAGTTGTAATGAAAAAATTTTTGTTTGTTGTTTACTGCTTTATGGTTGCTTTAGAAAATCTAAATAAAAAACTTTTCTTTTTTCACAAAAAATGTATTGAAATTAACAATATAACATTATAAATCTAAACATCTAAACAAACACTTAATCTAAACATACTAACATTATAAATTAATGACGAAATTGAAATTTTTAAATTTGAAGAAAATACTTGTACCGAGTATTTCCTCCTATGACATTTATTACTGCTTGACAACGATCTCCCATACTAAGAATAATCGTTCTCATTTCTTCTTAATCAATTTGGCGATACTGCTGCACAATTCTTGCCGTGTGTGGCCTGGCATTATCTTGCATAAGCATTAGATTATCCCCAATAAATGGTACAAATGGCACGACATGCTCTTCTAAAATGTCAGTTATATACCTCTGCGATGTAAGCTTACTACAATCTATTCTAACTAATTCCGTACGAGCCTCTACATTAATCTCACCCCACACCATTACCGAGCTGCCGCCATACTGTACAATCCCTACGGTGTTACACTGTGCGTATACTGTTCTCCAGGGCTTCTATACACTCGGTTTGTCCTGTCATCAGAAAAAAGACAGTACCTTGATTCATCGGTGAACATTATTCTTTCCCAATCATCATTACTCCAATCAACATATTCACAAGCAAAATGAAATTTTTGCCTTCTATGGTCCTTGGTCAATAATGGGCCAATTGGTGCCCTTCCATGGTGTAGGTCGTTTTCAGCAATTCTTCTTATAATCGTATTTTGTCTGATTTTAAAGTTATAAAGATCCAAAAATTCAGTTTTTAGAGAAGTACTGGTAACAAACCTTCGTCTCAGTGTACGAAGTGTCAAAAACCGGTCTTGATCGGGTCTTCTCGAGTTACTTCCAGAAACAGAAAAACGTGTTAACACTTTTGAAATGGTTAACTGGGTGACGTTAAAACGTTCAGCAAGGTCTACGTGAGTGTATCTTTTTTCGCGAAGAGTAACGAATCTAAAACAGTCACTTTCTGACAAATTTTTTTTCAGCACAACGTAATCCAACCCAACTAAATTCGAAATAAACTTAAGCATAATTAGCATGTTTTTAATTTTTTTACAAAAATGGTAAAAATAGCAGCGTTTTTTACCGTTCTTTCGATAAATTTTACAATATACCGGGGGTAAAAATAATATATTGCGTTGTTTCCAATTTGATGATCGTACTAGCAGAAATGAAAAAAAAAACCGACAAAATTGCAGCAATTCGTGACATTTTTAAAACTTTTGTGAAATCACAGAAATCTTATAGTTTACAACACAACGTGACGATTAATAAGAAATTGGAAGGCATTAGTGAACGATGTGGTTTTGTACAATACACACAGTCGGATATTCTGCGACTTTGTCAACCTATTTATTAGACCGGACGAAATGTTACTGCGAATAACAGTTTCACCAGTACTCAATTGATAGGTGAGTATGACGTAAATTCCCTTCTTGCGATGGCAAGTTAAAAAAAATTAGGTCGAAAATCCAACTGAATTCCTTCCAAATAAGGCGAGAGTTAAAAATAGTAGTTCGTTTGTAGTTCAACGATAAGTGCACTTTGGTGTCCTACGTTTAGAAAAAAGGAAAATGTGTAATTTCAACTTTAAGTCTCCATGAAGATTTGTCTATTGATCGTGAACAAAGAGATAAAAAAACCCATCTTTTATCAACTTAGCTAAAAAATTCGTCGTTGGTCCATTGTGGAATTTTTCGCTATGCTTAATATTACTGGAATCAATTTTGAGGTAATATATTTTGGTAATGATCAAAATATAATCAAAATGTTATTCGAAGAAAAAAAAAATTGTGACGCGCATTAGTTTTACCTGATATGGTCCAACGAAGTTCAGAAACATCAGGAATTCATATCAACCTGCAACAACGTCTAAAATATTTGCCTCAGTCGAACAAGGAGAACAGAAACAGAAAATGAACATGTCGGAAAGCGCAAGACATGTCATACATGCATTGGACAAAGACGTTTGACTGAGTATAACTGCAAAAAATGTAAGAAACCCCTTTTTTCTGATTTACGTATACAGCTTTTGCAATATCTGCAGTCAAATATTTACAGAAATACCACAAGATGACATAAATGAGGCAAGGGTATAATACTAAATTTTATGCTTTTTTACGAGTACCACTTCAGATTTTCGAAAAAGTTAGTTACCTTTGAGTTAATGATTTGTATTCGAATATATTTTTATGTAATTACGTACATGAGTGACATGTATTAAACGCAAAGGATTAAAATAAGTTGTTGTTATATACAATAAGTGGCGTAAGCAGTAGCGTAATCAATTTGATACACCGCGCCCATTACTTTTGGTTCGAACACTGCGCCCGAGAAGGTTAAGGTAGATACGTAGGCTATTGAATATGTACTCTAGAAAATTAAAGGGGTTTTATTGTTTCATATGGCCAATGGACCAAATCCGTAGAGTACAACCTGTAGGGGTGCTTTTTGAGAAAGGGTGAATTTGTCCCAATACACCAGCGTGTACTTTTGTGTGAATTATATGCACTTTTCGTACATATAGATCAAAAGAAAAATGCTTAAAATTAAATTTCTGGCCTAAAATATACCTTTTAAAGTTAAAAAAAAAGTTTTCTGACAAAAATATATTCTAAAAATGAACAAAAAAACTTGTCTTTTATCCCGCATAACTTTTTCCAGGAGGGTATAGATAATAGGCATTGCTTTACAGAAAAAAATTCTATATTTCTCTGTAAAATTAAATTTTTAGTCTTTAGAATTAAAAATACTTACAACGAACATTTTCGATCTTATCAGATCATCATCAGTAAAAAACATCAAAATAAAAAAGGATCGAACCTATTAAACCTAAATTTAACAGTATTTTTCATAACATTGGGAGGAAGTTATGTTTTAAGCTTCAAACACTAAAACTTTTTTTTAAGAAATAGAAAACGTATAACAGTATAAGAAGGAGACCTATCATTCAAATTCAGTAGTAAAAACCCATATCTTTACATTAAAGGGAGAGTACGTAATAAGTTTTAAGACACTAGGACTTTTTATTCAGGAGTTTATTGTATAGACGGTCGGACGAACCGATAGACAGATAGGCAGACAAACGCACGGGCAACGTCGCATGTTTACCTTTTAAGTATCTATTAATTATTTATAGAATTGCGTAGTTTGCGCAAAATGTATGTAATCTATTTTGCACTAAACGATTTCATGCTGATGTTAGTTAAATTTTTTCGTCATTTAAACATATTCATTTTTATTAAGCCTACATAAAGTAGTTTTCATTACAGAAATGATTATCAAATTTTTACTAACAATAATATACTTCCATATGACTTTTATAAGATTTTTATTATATTTGTAGTTTACTTGACTCCTTGTATGAAGGTTTTTGAAAGATTTGATGTATCGTACAGATACCTAACATGTCTATCAGATACTTCTAGAAGAACAAATGATACCGCTAGAATTCCCGACTCCGTTGAAACATTCTGTTCGTAAGTATTTACATATTTTATTAGGTATATAATAATAAATTAATATCAACGAAGTTATTGCTACTAAGCGTAATTTACTACGGATGTATTTTTTCATCCCTCTTTTATTTAAAGTATACATTTATTTATAAAAGATACATATACAGGGTGATCCTTAAGTAATTGTACAAAAAGAAACAGTAGATTCTACACTTAAAAATATTACGATTTCAGCTAACTTGCTGTAATAAAATATTGATATTAAGAAAGATAGAGGGTGTTACAATTTAAATTTAAATTTATTATACTTTTCACTATAACTTTTATGTTTGTAGAAATTTATCAATAAAAATTTATAACTGGGGACTTTTGGGCTGTATAATATTTTAATAAAAAAAGATATGTTTGTTGACAACTTAAAAATTAAAAAGTTTTCGAGATAATCGCATTTTAAAGATCACCTGCATAATGATTCTTATTATTGTAGAGAATTTTTTGGCGAGAAATTACTGTATACTGTAAGCATATTTTATAGTTTATTCTTATAAAAACAACTCAAAGATAGTTATATAATACCACAAAATGCTTTCTTATCGCTGCTAAATGTTTTGTTTGATTTTATTTGATATCATCATTAGACAATTAGTCCAGTCGTCAGGGACGAAAATGTCCACTAAACCTCTAAAAATTAACTAACAAGCTTAATTTTGCTGAGAATGTTAATACTTTGGTTTTAAAAAATATGCAAAAAGGTGTATCACTCCTACTTCGGTCCATAAAACCCCTCTCGTAGGGGGGTGGCGTAAAACATTACTAAGAATCAGTAAGTCGTAGAAAAAAATGTTTTAAACAAGAAATGTAGCTGAGGTTATTTCAAATAAACATGTTTATAATCACTTTCTTTGTAGAATGAAGTATTTTCTCAGAAACAACGCTTGAAGCGATCGGCGTTATGCGCTCAAATTTTTTTTTAAATAAAATTTTTATCAACTCGACAGTAAAAATTCGATATCTTTTGAGCAGAGTGCCGAATCGAGACAAATCAAAATGCATTTTAAAGATAAAGAGAGCAGATTTCGTAACAAATTTTTGCATTTTGTCTCATATTATTATGTAGTCAGTTTCTATAAAGCTGTTAAATAAATGAAGGTTGCGCAATTTTTCCCATTTTACACAATTCTCATGAGACAATACAATTTATTACTTTCATTGACTGGCCATTATGGAATTTTCATTGCTGGAGCCCAATCTTCAAAAGCAATAACATTAAATTTCGTTTTTAAGTTCTTGCTATACATATCAGGGCATTTGAAATATGCCTAAAAACGCTAAATTTAAAATTTTACATTAAAAACCATCTAAAACGTTTATAACTCCTTTTTTTGATTTTACAAGTACGTTTTTTACAACAACTTCCCCTTAATGTCGTCTTTGTAGAAGCATTTCTCGTGATGTAAGATCTATTGTAATGTGAGAGTTTTAATCCAACGTTTCTTAGGTATATTTCAAATACCTATTTGCAAATTTGTTGCCAAAACTCAAAATCCAAATTTAATGTTCTTGAGTTTTAAAGATTGGACTTTTTTAATGGAAATTCCATAGCGATCAATCGATGGAAATAATACGTTTTATGAACTTATGAGAAGATTTTTATGAGAATTATATTTATGAGAATTTTTACAGTCAAGTTGATATAAATTTTATTTAAAAATTTTCTCCTGCGGAACTAACATTCAATATCACTGGTCGCTTCAAACGTTGTTTCCGAGAGAACTCTTCATTTTTCAGAAAAAGTGGTAATAAACATTTCTATTCAAAATTAACTCAGCCACATTTATTGCTTAAACTATTTTTTGCTATAGCGTACAGATTCTTGGTAAATTGTTGTTTTCCACCACCCCCCTTTGCTGGATTGCTCTTGGTAGTCATTTTTCTCGGCCACCACGTACCCCAGATTTTAATCCATAATAGTTTGGTGTATAGAATACAATAAAAATGCGTATCTACAAGTATTCCTAAAACAATTCCAACGACTTTTGGAAAGAAATAAATTCTTCAGCAGTTTCTTTTGAATCACTATTGCTATTTAATATGAGACAATCTTTTATGGAAAGTACTGATAAATGCATAAAGAAAATGGTGGTCATAACGAACACTTACTTTGATAAAAAGATTATTGTTATTCGTTACTATTTCTAAACTTTGTAAATAAAATGTATATGACTATAATTTAATATAAAACGTACATCGTTTGACGCCAAATTCTATAACATTTTATTAATTATCCTACAGAAGTATGTAAAAAATATTACCTTATACTACATTTTATCTAATATATCGGAAACTATTAACTTAAGTTAAAATATTTTACACGAAAATTCAGAAGTATTGATGTTTTTGTCTATTTTTTTTTATTGTCTGAAGTAATTATTGTGTTAAATTATCGTTATGCAGTTAATTTGTAAAATGCCATTATCTCCAAAACGGTAAAGTTTTGAAGTTAATAACAGGAACTTATATCGTTTTTTTTTAATAATATGTCTTTAAAAATTTTTGACACAAAGAACGCTAACTTAAAGAATAAAATGATTAAAGGCAAATGTATCCCACATGTGTGGCGTATGTGGCTCCTCATATCAGCTTCATTAAAGTGTGCATAAAATTATAATTATTTATACTCAAAAACCCTTAGTTATAAAATTTTATATGCAAATCTTCAAACACACAAAAGTTAAAAAAAAATATAGTTTTAAATTTGAACTTTAATACCCTGTATCTTTCATCATATCAATATTTTATTAAAAAAAAGTTGACTTAAACCGTAATATTTTAAAGCGTAGAATTTACTGTTCCTTTTTGTATAATTGCTTAAGGACCACCCTGTATAAATGCCTAGGGTTAATTCTATTTAGCTTGTAATTAAAATATCTACTTTTATTTATTTTATACTTTTCCATGTATTTTAATCCCATTTATTTTCATTGCTATCCGACGATTTTTTTAATTGCCGATGTCATTTATACACATTTTAGTATATATTTTCTTAACCCCCCCTCCAGATAAAGATGGAAATGAAATAGAAGAGTTCTACAATGACATTAAAAAAGCACTAGACAGCACCAATAATAGAGATATAACAATAACAATGGGCGATTTTAATGCCAAATTAGGAAAATATAAGTTCCAAGACATTATTGGTGAATTTGGACTAGGAATAAGGAATGAAAGAGGGTAAAAACTGACGAAATTCTGTCAGAGGTTTGAAATGATAGCAACGACATGGAAATCACTTATGATAATAGATACGGTAACTCCATTAAATCAATAAAGACATATCCAGGAACAGATGTGTCATCAGAGCACAATCCAGTAATCGTAAAATTTGAAATCCACCTAAAGAAAATAAAAAATAAACAAAAGACACAACAAATAAGCCTATGCTAAAACACTCAAATATAAAAAGAGATCTAATGTTGAAAAATAACGAGGAGTTAAGCAAAACAATAATTGGTAATGAAGATTCCTAAGACTCTAATGGACAATCTAAACTAATGGACAAACGAATATCATACAAAAACAAAAATGTAAATGAATACAAAGCCACACACAAGAAGGTCAGGATAAAAATACAGGCTGCTAAAGAGAAGTCAACGACGCATGTTTAGAGATAGAAGAACTCCAGAGAAATCATGATAGTTTTGAATTGCACAAAAAAATTAAAGAATTAGCAGGTATAAGACGGTCCAACAATGGTAACACCCTAGTTGATACAAATGGTAAAATAATATTTGATATCAAAACAAACTAAACAGATGGAGAGAATACGTCCAAGAATTGTTTGAGTCCGACAGGACACAACAAGATAGCATAAACGATTGCGAGGAACACGATATAGTTCAAAATATAACTAAAGCTGTAATAATACATGCAATAAATCTGGCGAAATCTCATGAAACTGCGGGGAATAACACAATTCCAACTGAAATAATTAAATTAATATATTAATATCAGAAGATCAGATCAATGTATTAGTAGACTTATATAATACTCTATATATATAGAGTATTATATAAAATATATAGGTATATATATATATATATATATATATATATATATATATATATATATATATATATAATACGGGTATTATTCCGAGAGATTGGCTCAAATAAACATTTATTACATTACCAAAAAAATCTAATTCAAGGGAATGTAATGGCCACCGTATAATTAGTCTAATGAGTCACACACAAAAAATGTTCTTAAAAATTATCCATTTAAGAATTTTCAGAAAAGTGGAACAAGACATCACGGAAACTTAATTTGGATTTAGGAATGCTAGTTCCAATAGAAAAAGTAAAAAAAAAATACAGATGTCTTGGTACAATTATTAATGAAAATAACGAGAATACAAAAGAAATAAAAATGAGAATTGGACAAGCTAGAGCAACATTTAATAAGATGAGAAAAGTATTATGCAGTGGAGACCTTAGTTTGCAACTCAAAATAAGAATTTTACGTTCGTATGTGTTTTCGGTGCTACTGTATGGGGTGGAGGCCTGGACCTTAAAAAAGGAGGTAAGCGTTCGACTTGAAGGATTCTAGATGTGAACCTACCGAAGAATATTAAAAATAAGTTGGGTAGAGCGAATAACAAATGTTGAGGTCCTCAGAAATATGACAAAGGAAATGTAAATCATGAATACGATTAAGATAAGAAAGTTACAATATCTCGGCCACGTTATGGGAGGGGATAAATATAAACATAAAATGTTGCTACAATCCATAATACAGGAAAAAATACAGGGAAAACGAAGTATTGGAAGAAGACGCATCTCCTGGCTCAAGAATTTGAGAAAATGTTATAATTTCAGTTCCATCGACTTGTTCAGAGCTGCAGTCTCAAAAGTGAAAATAGCTGTGATGATTACCAACCTCCTTAGAGGAGACAGTACCTAAAGGAAAAGATTCTCTTAAAATATTTTTACAGGTTATCTTTAGGTCTCTGGTTTAACTAAAAA